AGTATCAAACGAAGTCCAGATGGCACGGAACTTGACAGGCGGTCTACCGGTAGTAAACCAAGGCCGCATGACAAGTCTCAGTCCAATCCGGAAATGTTTAACGCCCACACACGAAAAAAAGTAGAAAGGGACACCGGGTGACATAGGAGCGCCAGAATGCAAAACGGACAACGGGGAAAATGCTCGGATGCATGAGACGAACACGTATGCAAATGCAATGCACATGATGACATGATATGAGATGCATGACAAAGACGAACACACATAGAGACAAAAACCTGACAACGAGGAAGTAGAATAACTTAGTGCCGAAAATGGCAAGAGTTGGAGTGCAGATAAGGTAAATTACATCCGGGGTGTTACAAGTTCGCTAAGACCCCCGCCAAATCAAACATTCGACGGCGGTCTCGGGAACTACACCCGGTGGGTGCACTCAGCGTGCCCCCACTAGATCAATCTCCACTCGGCGCCACGTGACCGACCGAGTGGTGAGATACAAGCAAAAATATTCTAAGACCCCCACCGAATCAAACATTCGATGGCGGTCTCGGGGACTACACCCAGTGGCTACACTCAGTGTGCCCCCACTGGATCAATCTCCACTCGGCGTGGCCTGACCGGCCCGAGTGGTAAGCTACAAGCAAAAATATTCTAAGACCCCCTCCGAATCAAACATTTGACGGCGGTCTCGGGGACTACACCTAGTGGATGCACTTAGCGTGCCCCCACTGGATCCATTTCCACTCGACCTCAGCGTGACTAGTCTGATTGGGAAACAACAGAATGCAAAACTATGACCAAATGAGTGCTAAATCAAGAACACCCAGTGGGCGTGCAAAGTCAAGACAGACAGGACAAAATCCAATCGGAAATTAACTTATAATCGCACTTACTCAGACATTTGCCTGAAGGGCCAACTTGGTATCATAAGCAGACTTGCTAGCTTTGTACACTTCCTTCAGACACTGCATCATCAGGCCAGCCTGAATCATGGCTTCTTTGTTGGCCCCTGTCTGGTCTTCAGGAACATGATGTAGAGTGAATGCACCAAGCGCTGGGGTCGGCGACGCAGTTAGAGGAATCAACACTTGATATTGGCCAGTAGGTCCTGAAGCTTAAAGAGTCAACACCAAAGGCGAACTGGTCAATGGTGGAGCGGCAGAGATAGCATCAGCTCGAGTCGAACCACCAAGCTCTAGAGGTATCGCAGCGGGCGGCACTCGGGGCGCTCTGCTCAACAGCACCCTCCGAGTGAAGTTGTAGGGAGTGCTTGAGGTCGCACGTTCACCACCCGCACCTTTCGGGAGCTCGTCTTCATCGTCATCAGCCAGATGGATGATGTTTGTTGGCTCTGCAATCACTCGACAACAACAACTCATTCAATCGACGAATCAACCAATGGAAACGAAACATAGTGCAAACGTGTCGTACCTCGCCGAGAGGTGGCTGCGTTCATAGTGTCCTCCTCCACATGCTCCTTATCAACCTGCATGGGCGACATTATCGAAGTAGCAGCTCTGGCACACAAAGTTCACTTGGTCAGCAAAGACGCGAAGTTCTACATTAGTAAGAAAGAAAGGGAAAAGAAAAACACTGATACGTCCATTTAGCATCATGCTTTTATATCAATATTTATTGCATTATGGGCTGTTATTACACATTATGTCACAATACTTATGCCTATTCTCTCTTATTTTACAAGGTTTACACGAAGAGAGAGAATGCCGGCAACTGGAATTATGGGCTAGAAAAGGAGCAAATATTAGAGACCTATTCTGCACAACTCTAAAAATCCTGAAACTCCATGGGAGTCATTTTTAGAATTTTAACATATAACGAGGCTAGCCAACTCGTCTCCACGGTGGTCCCTCGTTTTGCTTCCATATGGGTCCTTGGATGTTGGTCAAACAGTTGATTTTTTCGCTGGTGCTCGTTGGATCGTCGCTGAAAATCTATCGTTGCCCTTTTGACCGCACGACGAGTTTTGGATGGGGGATGACCTGTGGGCTCGGGAAAAACCTCATTGGCTGGGTCGCCGTTTTTTGTGTGCGCTAGCGGCCTCTCCTGTCGTGCCGCGTGCGCTCGTCGTGGGCACTGCCTTTGTTTCTGGTTTCCACTTGCCCCTCTGGTTCATCAGTTGCTGCGGCTGCCAGTGGGCCTGCCTGCTCTTTGGCCCCACACGTCCATCTGATGGCTGTGGCTTTTTTGCGTGAGGGTTGCCTCCCGCATCGCGTCGTGTCATGGGTCAAATGCGTCTGGGGGACCGCTCCTCGCGTGCTGTCCGCGTCGTGCGGTATGGGGACCAGTTGCGCAGGGATAGGCCGATGCGTATGTACCCCGCTTATGCACCCGAGTCTGTCCTATAGCGATGCCGGGTGGGCCAGCGCTGCTCCTGGTCCCATTCGTCGGTGGAACTGGCTGCACGTGTCATCATGGTCGAGATTCGCCAATACCATTCGCCCGTGCGCCACGCTCGTCCTGCGGAACATGCAAAAGGGTCAAATCCCTAGCCGCCAACCTTCCCCGTCAAGCCTGCGGCCCCTCCGCCTCGTCTCCTCCCCGTCCCTCCTCTCCAACGCCGCCGCCCTCGATGCGCCATTAGGGCGCCATCGACACGTCAGGGATACACCGTGATGGAGCTCAGCCCGAGCCCAGCAGAAGCCACTCCTAACCATGTTCGCTCAATTGACAAGAGAAGGGCAGCGGATTGGTCGAGGGCACCCGCATGGCCTCGTCGCCGCTGTCACCTGGATTCGCTAGCCGCCGCCTTGAGTCACACCCGTCGCCGCCGCGAGTCAGCTCCATCATTGCTGCAAGGAATCTCGTCCCCGGCAAGGTAATTACCTCCGAATCCCTGCTCTACCTTGTCCTGCTGCCCTACTTGCTGCATGTGTGCTGTGTGCTGTGTGCGTTTAGCCATGATCTCCTCGAGAAAGCTCAAATCTCTCGACTTTTACAGGTACCATCCGCCTCCCTTCCGATCTTCAGATCTTCATATGTGGTGAATGCGGTGTTTTGGTTTTTCGTCGGATTACTATCTATATTCGGGGATTAGCTATGAATTGATGTTTTTACTTCGAGCGTGGATATTCGGCAGTAGTGATTTAGGTCTTTTTGTAGAACAGAATGATTAACTCAGTCTATTTATGGAAAACTGGTAGATGATATATGTATGAACGATCGTAACACTGAAAATGCAAAATTTACAGTATGGTGTAATGATGGTTGGTGGGGTGTGACTTTTTTGCTGGCATTGTCCAGTGCAGTTTTTGGATTTCTACTGAGTGGTACCGTGTTTTGAGATTTGTTTTTGTGTTGCTGTTTGCAGGAAAATTCCTAGGGATTTTATTGACGGAGGCATCACTATCTGGTGCTGGATTATCCATTTTTGCAGCACTAGCAATGCTATGTCGCTCATGCCAAGCATCGTTTCACATTCAGGTAAGGCTCTTTGCTTGCAACCACTGCTGCACTCACTACACATGGGGTTTGATCAAAATGTATCAGAAAGATAGTCTCGTTGAGAAACATTTGGTAGATAATTTTTTTGACCTGGGTAGATAACTTTTATTATTCAAGATGCAACATTTTGTTTTGATGTATTTTGTTATCGATATTCCTCTAAATATTTTGTGTACTTTAAGCAAAATGTTGGGCTTGTGTTTATTTTTACATAGTTAGGCAATCTGCATACATTTTCCATACATCAACATATATCTGTTGAAAAACAGAGAATTGCTTCTAGGCATCCACATATACTCACTAAAGAAATAGAGAATATCAATTGCTCCTCAACTATCTGTATGCATCCACATGCACTCATTAGAAAAACAGAGAGTACAAATTACCCCTCTACCATCTGCGGAACCTAAGAAACAGATAGCACAAATTCTGTAATAAAAATTATCTATACAATTGACCATGCAATACCATATCCAATGAGAATAGCTACCGAACTTGCAAAGAGAACTAATAATGTTGGATCGCCAATTGATAGCAAGCTTAAACAAGAAAGGCTCTTGAACATTTATAACATAGTGTTCATTATAAACAAAAAAGGTCTGGTGATAATAGTTCAAAGCTTCATGTAACAATTTTCATGCTTTAAGTTCATTAGTGCGCATATCATAACTGCAAGGGTGATATTCTTTCTTCAATTTCAGAATGATGGTAGTTGACTATTTGAAACCTTGTTGAGCAATTAACAAGAAATGGATCTTATTTACTTTGCCACTATTTTGGCTTTAGTTGTACTTGGCATATCAAGAGCTGGTGTTAGGTTCTACCAGATTGATTTTTAGCTCCTTTTTCTTAGGTTCTATTGACTCGTGTTCTTATTTTATCCTCATTTTTTCCTTTCCAATTTTGCAGGGGGGTTTACTCTCCCTCAACGTAAGCGTCGATGCAATGGATATTGATTTTGGCTTGGGTGCAAATTGAGTACAGACGGTGAGACTTATTCCATTTGTTTATCCTTTTGGCCTTTTAATCGAGAACAACGCTAAAGCTTACATGGTTGTCAATCTTGGGTGCCTTGTGCAGACTTTCTAGTTTAGGCATCATTTCGAAATTGTTTGGTGTCCATGAATTTCCCGATGAGCTTGGCCTGCACCATGCTGCCTCATGTAGGATTTTGGCGCTCGTGATCTTCCTTGCTTAGGTGACTTGTCCCAATCCTTCTTCCCCTCCCATCTGATCTCTCTCTCTCTCTCTCTCTCTCAGGTTTGACGTGTGTTCTAGTTTAAGCTTAACATGATTTTTTGATAAACATTACATGGAGGACGATGGTTTTCTGTAAAACAAGCCATTCAAAGGAAAATAATGATACTTGAGTTCATTGTGTTTTGTGTGATTTGCACCATGGTTGGATTTTTGGACAAATGGGCATTGTTGCTTCACTGCTATATGTGGTTGATGCTTAGTTCAGAAACTCGGTTCGAGTTAAATTGCTTTAGGCCATCCTTCCTATCTCTACTATTAAAGCGGAATCGAACGTCGTGATGGTTCAACCTCTTTTCAGTCTCACAACCCCTCCGCGCATGATAGAAAAAAGAAAAGAAAAGAAAATAAAAAACCCACAAGTACGCACGTCCCAACTCCCACCTCCCACTTCCCACTCCTTCCGCCAGATCCTCGCTCTCGATCCGGTGTCTCTGCAGAGACGAATCGCCGCCGCCGGCCTATTCCCGCCTACGTCGACCTTGAGCGGCAACACAATGCAGCCAGACTTCTATACTAGATTGGAGCGGTGGATCTACATCTATCTCTTCTTCACCGAGTCCACGAGGTACTCGACGTGGCAGGGGCGACGAACAGGAGCACCACATCGACAACAGCGACGAACGACGGCCCAGGTGTTGCCATCTCCTTATCTTCGATCCAACCCATCTTCCCCTCGTATCCTGTACTCCCGCACCCCCTCATTCTTCTCTCCCGTGGCAGGGACCGACGAGTTGCAACGGACGGGGGGCAGTCCGGCTGCTGGCGTAAAGGACGACGGGTGGTGGTAGGGCCGTGGGAAGAGCAGGTAGACGGAGAAGGTTGCCTATGGAAATCTGGCAAGTGGCAGCGGCATACAGGTATTACAGTTTGATGTTTGCTTTTTACCTAGATGAATACTTATAACACTGAATTTATGAATGTTGACTTATATTATTGTATTTTTGATGTTTGCTTGTTGTCGTAATCTCATGTATAGGCTGTGCTGATTCTTAAATTGCCAAAAGAGACCTTAATAGAAATCACTCAAGTCACTTTTTATTGTGGAAACTCGTTGTATGTGTAAATTTATTTATACTCTCGGTCTCGACTCATTTGATTACGTTTTCACTTGTGGAGTTCATGATCAACTGGTCATGAACATCAATTATCTTTACTGTTGAATCTATCTTATTTTGGTTATGTTGATGGCAAGACCAAGCGGGAAAACACCAGAAATAAATTCAACTTGGGGAAGAGAATCACGAGGATGAACTCGTCGGCTGCTTCTAGCGTGTTTTGTGGTGGAGGAACATAGAAATCTCCGTTTCCTCATTACTTTATTCCGATGGTTTATTTGCCATACGTTACATTGGCGAGAGGTGGGGTACCAGAAGGAGGCGACATTAAAATCTCTATTTCCTCATTACTTTATTCTGATGGTTTATTTGCCATATGTTAGATTGGCGAGAGGTGGGTTACCAGAAGGAGGCGACGTTAAAATCAGTGCCAGTGACGACGACGATGGACACGATGAGCTTGGTTGGCAGTGGCCGCCGCAACAGTGTTGTACTCGGAGCCCATGCTATCCGAGCTCGACAATACGAACAGCTCAGTCCTTTTGCAGCCGTGTTCATCGACAAGTTGTCCATACAGTACCTTGGCATCAACAACCACGGCCATGATAGCGGAGTTGTGCTGGCCGACAGCCCTGCTACCATGCGCCGAGCAGTCTACTGATTTCAGAAGACCGTGAGGACTGCTGGGCTCAAGGGGTTGAATCGGGTTCACCACATGTGGTGGCAACCTGGGTGAGCTGCCTTTTGTTGTCCCTTTCTGCTATTTGGTATCTCTAGCCTGGTTTTAGTGCTCTGACAGGAATTAGCAATTCTAAACTTGAGACCAAAAGGAGTTGTAAGAAGAAAGGTGTTGTAAGAAGTGTTCCTTCGAAATTGTACACTAAACTGCTTGCGCATTTTCATGCAGGTTGGCACTCATCTTGGAGCACAATTAAATGGAAATCAGTAGCAAAACCACAATCTTTATAGTGGTAATCTAATCCTAGAATTTAGCTTCATTTATATATTTCGAAGTGGTTCCATGATTTTATATTTTGCGTACTATGTTTGGACTGTAACATTTAACCTGGGATTTTAAGTGTGCGAACAGTTGATATGGGTTACAATTGAAACTTACATTCATTCTTCTGAATAGAAGAAGGGGCTTCTGAGTGGCTTCTGATTGTACTAAAATTTCTTAAGAGCCGTAGTAACTTTATTATGTAGCAATCTGTTAATTAAGAAGTGATATCCTCCCATTGCTTTGAAGTGAACGCAAATTTCGGGGGGATACTCTTATTCATTGCAAGCATCACTAAGCGCAACTTCTGGAACTTTAATTTAATCAAAAGAATACTGAAAAATACTTTTTGCATTAATTTTATACTCCCTTTGGTACACCATGTCATATAAATGTGATGCAAATTGTTGTAGGTTCAGTTTTACATGCTCCTCCTGCCCATATCACAAGAGTCTATTTCAATATATTCCCCTTTTTATATTTTACAAAATACACTTGCCACCATGGAAGTGACATGTTATTCCTGAGAATTCGATTAGTTTGAGTTGATACCATTTTCTTTCCATTAATTGTTAACAACATCTCCTTGATTTATATATAGGTCTTACCTCTTGCAGACTGTTTTATTTTCTTCATTGGAAGACTTATGTAATACTTGATGTCTTGCTTTGTAATAGAAACTTCACCTTTGCTTATAGTTTTCTTGGTGTTGTTCTGCGCCTGATTCCTTAATTCGAATATAGAGTTAAAATTATGATACAATATGACATCATTCTTTTGGGAATATCAAAAGAGTAAATTTAACTTCTCAGCACACATGCATTTTTGACTGCTCTTTATGAACCAGAACATAAGAAAAACAAGAGTACCCACTGCCAGTTAAAGATTAGCCAGATTAACACAAGTGAATTTTTGTCCTGTTCAGTGATATGCATTTCATCAGCTATAGCTTCTCGCCATTACTGTATGTACTGATACTCCAAATGGAAATGAAGCGTTCAAAGTGGACAATTCTCGCCATATGGCTTGATTACCATAAAATTTACTACAAATCTCGACCTCTGTTGCGTTACAGTAATTTCCTCGAGATTATCTTATTAGCATAGACTGAAGAGAGGTTCATCTTATTAGCATGCTATCGTTTTTACAACCTAACAAAAATGGTGAATTGTTGAACTTCAGACTTCAATGGAGGTGCACCGGATGAACCGGAGGTGATCATTTTGGACTGCACGGATTTGGACTATGCACGGATGTCCTAATTCTGTTAGGTCCAATGGGCCCTGCTTAATACATCAAACAACCACATTTTTTCATGCATTATGATGACTGATCCTTGTAAACTGCATTACATATAATATTTATAAAGCTCTCTTCTTGTAACCATTGTATATGCATAATCGAAAACCAACCCTTAATTAGTGGCACAAACACACTGACATCCAAAGAATGGATTAAGTGCTAGGGAGAAGGGAGGGCGAAGATGAAGGCTCTGCTATGTAGGTGGCCTTGATGTAACTAGAGCATTCTTTGGTCATGTTAGAGACTTATTAGTGATAGAGCAGTAAATTATTTTGTTAGGATAATAAATTGTGTGTTACGTTCTTTTATACGGATGATTTTAATCCCAAGGTAGGAGTGTTCGTACAAGTGGAACTATGACCTCTCATGCAATGTTTAGAAAAAAAATTAGGCTTCTTTGGGTTTCTGATGTATAACATTGAAAAAAACATAATTGGGTATCAGTCGACTTACTCGAATTTGTGGTGTGAGGTTAGTGACATTGGGAATGACTTTGGCAATTTGACATACTTGGAGGAAACTCATGCAAATTTGGAGTGGGGCTGTGAATAGCAACGGTTGTTTGGTGGTCTTGGAGAAAATATGGCAGATTCGGAGCAGGGGTGACAACATAGCAAGCGACAGCGCGATGACCAAAGAGTTGTAGCGCAAAGCTAGCTATAGATTCTTTTTGTTGGCCCGTGGCAACGCACGAGCATTCAACTAGTTTTTTTCAGGATGTGTATGTGTGACGCCCCGAGATCGATGTGCCAGGTGTCGTCCAGTTATTCGTTGTTGTTGCTTTGTCATTGCTTGTGTGTCTTACATTGCATATCATGTTATCATGTGCATTTCATTTACATACATGTTCGTCTCATGCATCCGAACATTTTCCTTGTTGTCCGTTTTGCATTTCGGCACTTCGTTCTCCTCCAGTGGTCATTTTTATCTTCTTTTCATATGTGGGGGTTAAACATTTCCGGATTGGACCGAGACTTGCCAAGCGGCCTTGGTTTACTACCGGTAAACCGCCTGTCAAGTTTCGTACCATTTGCATTTCGTTTGATGCTCCAACGGTTAACCGAGGAACCGACAAGGCCTCGTGTGTGTTGCAGCCCAACACCCCTCCATTTTGGCCCAATATCAACCTAAACCTCCTCCATCATCTCAGTCGTTCGATCACGATCGCGTGGCCGAAAACCGCACCTCATTTGGACTCTTCTAGCTCCCTCTACCTCTATATATAGACCCCTTTATTTTCGTTTTCGGATCTTTCCCTGAAACCCTAGTCATCTCCCTCCTCGCGCCGCCAGACACGTCCATCCCGCACCGGACATGTCCGCCAGACGCGTCACTCCGGCGAATCGGACGCCGCCATGTCGCCTCCTCCGCCGCCCGATCCAACCAGCTCGCGCCACCTCAGCGCGCCACCGCCTTCTCTCTCCTTCGCGCCCGCCGCGGCCCGAGGCCGGCCCTCCCCGGGTCAAATCTGGGCCGCCGCTCCGCGCCCGTTCGCCGCCGCGTGCCCGAGGAGCCCTGCCGCCCCGCTCGCCGAACGCTGTCCTCGCTCCGCCGCCTCGGCGCCGGCGCCACCTCGCCGGTGCACCACCATCGCTCGCCGCCGCCGCGCCAAGCGTCTCCGGTCGCCGCACCCGGCGCCGGCCACCTCCGCCGACGTCCGTCGCCTCCTCGTCGCCGGCGCGGCCCGGATCCACCTCTTCTCCGGCGAGAGCGAGCTCCAGCAGCCCTGTTTCGGCGAACTCCATCTGTGCCTTGGTTCGCGTGCACGAACCCTAGATCTGAGATCTGAGAGAGGTTGACTTTTTCCCTAAGTCCCCGAGATTTCCATGTTTCATATGCCTATGTTCATCATGCCGTAACTTTGCACCCGTAACTCCGTTTTGCGCGTGTAGCATATCAAAATGTTCGTCTTAGAGAGCACATCATTTCATCTCATTGCATCATTTTCATTTGAGTGCATATTGATGCCCGAAATGCTGTTGGAAAAGTGCTATTTGAGTTAATTGTCAGATCTGCTGCACCAAATAGCTATTTGTCATTTTTGCCATGATTATTGTGTGCATTTTATGCCCCTGAGCTCTACATGTGTTTTGTTATATGCCATGCCATCTTTCCAGAGGTGCTATCCATGTATTTTTGTGATGTGTGTGGTGACTAGCACAAGCTTGCAAAGTGGTGCATTCGTTAATGCTGATTTCAGGGACTTAGCATTTTCACTAAGTCCTTGATCTGTTTATCTCTATATGCCATATGTTTATGTTGTTTCCTAGTGATCCGTGCCTCTTTTGAGGATAATCAGTAAGGATGTTTTGTTAATCTTGTGGTGCTATATCCATCCATGTCTTTGTTTGCAATTATGGAGCACCCTAGCTTGAGTCAATCGAGCTCTATTTTTGATATTTCGTGAATCTGGGCAGATTGTCTACTTGTT